GCGTTTGGGTAGAGTTGGTCGCGTGCGTGCGTGTGCGTTGTGTGTGTGGCCGCTCGATCGAATCAAACCTTTTTTAGACACTCTCAATCGAATCGAACCTGTTGTGCCTGCCTGCGTGGCCCAACAGCTGGATGCGTCGGCCCATCAGGCCAGCGCTGCTGGCTGCGGTCGATCGAAACAGCCGATGCCGATCCAGATTCTGCCAATCGATAGATGCATAGGTATAAAAAAATTGCCCCAGAATCAAGGTATGGCGGATGCCATACCCTGCCCACCGGAGCCCTCCGCCAGTGTTTGAAATGCCCTATAAATTGTGATATGTGCATCTATTTATTGTACGCTGTTATTGTGGGCTGGCTGTAAAATTAATTAAAACTGATGAACACACCTTTGCCGTGAGCATGAGTGTGGAACTCAGCAAGGTGTTCCATGTGTCGGCAACTGAGAGCGCCCTTTGCCAATTGCCAAGGGACTTGTTTAAATGCTCGAGAAAAGACTTTCCATATTTTAAAAAATTATGGAAAAAAGTGGCCCAATTGTCTGCAGAGGATAGGGACATGTGGAATCTTGTTGCCGAGTGCCGTCCTACGGGATCTCAGCAACAAGCATATAGCTCGAGTGTTTTTGTGTTGGAGTGTTTTTTCGGAGAACCTAGGCAAATGGAGGTCGTTATCGAGCCCCATGTTTGCCAAGTGTGGTACTCTGCGAAGGGGAGGTTTTCCAAGCTGCCGTGAAATTGAACTCGGCAAACACCAATTTTTCAGTAGTGGCTTCGAACATATGTATCGTAAACATACTACATGTATTATTGACAAATGACATAATTATTTAGCATATCATCTGTAGAGGGCTGTATAACCATATTGTTTGTAATGATACAAATAAGAATTTATAAAACCATAACTTTATTTATCAAACACATTCAACGCAGAAATAGATACACTAAAGATAGTCTAGGTAAATAGATAACTTTATTTATCAAACCTGCTCCAGCAAGTACAGCAGACTGCAGCATTCCTCGTGATGGAAATACATTGAAGGTGATAAAAACGAACATAAGTACAGAAGATATACGGTGGAGACGGAATCTCCACAAGAAGAGAATCTATTCATGCCGTGTAACACGATGGATCATCACGTCACTCGCACCGTTATTTTGCCCTTTTATTTCATGCGCTACAGTATTCTTTTACCAAAACGCCTCTCTCTGCTCTGGAAGGACATAAGAGCTTCGAGATATTCGGCCTCCCCGAAATCAGGCCCGAGCGCGTCGGTGAAGAAGAGCTCGGTGTAAGCCAACTGCCAAAGCATGAATTCGCTGAGCCTGAGTTCGCCGCTGGTCCTGATGAGTAGGTCAGGGTAAGGGAACTCGTCTGTCCAGCTCATCTCGAGCTCGTCGGCGAATAGTGACTCATCGATGTCCTCCGGTCTGAGCAGCTTGTTGTGCGCCTTTTGGGCAAGCTTCTGGCATGCTTGCAAGATGTTCGCTCGCCCACTGTAGCCGATACCTAGCATCAGGTCGGTTTGTGAGTTGCTTCTTGTTTCCTCCTCGGCATCTTGTGAGTCTTCTGCAGATAAGCCGGGAGCCTTGGCAAGTCACCGATTATGTGTAGACGAATCCCATCCCTGCAAAACATAAGAATTTCTACTAATTATTAGTCAATACAAGTATTAGTAGAAGCAATTAGAATAGCTACATACATAGCATCCATAAGCACACGAAAGGAAAGCTCGTGTCTTCGACAACAAGTGCATGCCACCTCCAGTATTGCTCAACAACATCAATCTCGAGACAAAACTTTTGGTAACCGCGGGAGCTAATTAATTAAGAAATTGGGTCCTATCATTCTTGAAGAGTAATCCCTTTGTAGCTCCGGGCTGTAATCTAACTCTACTCTCTTCTTAATTAATGAATGAGGTAAATTTTTTACCTCCGTTTCAAAACAAGCACGCAACATGTCCTAAGTAACACACTAACACTCCACTCTCAGTTTCTAATTCAAGTGAAGTAGTATACTTGTCAAGCTCCCAGGGGCTGTCTTTGTAGTCGGGATTCAATTTACAAATTACCCAACCTGAAGGCCCCTAGGAGTAAGATGCATGGAGAAAGGCAAGAAGAAATGTGGGTATCTTACATGGACATGTTGGTTACGATGCAGTGTGGACATAGTGGTGTCATAAGTGCGGCTCCATTAAAATTAAGCTAAAATGTCAAAGGACAAGAATGACATTTTTCTCACCACAACGGCAGTGGTGATGGAGGAAAGAGGCAAGGATTATAAAATCCTATCGTATATACCTAAAAGATTCATTCATACTAACTTATTTATCTCAACATTCAACCATGCATGAGAAAATGTTTTCTATTTAATTACTCTATGTATGTTCACTAAATATTGTTACAACTATACATAATTAGTCATATGTATTTTAAATTTTGGCCCTTATGTTATCAACCCAAAATTTCATCCAACAATTTCCGCAGCAACGCGCCCTAAGTAGTTCAACCCACTATCTTTATTATCTTAGCATGCACATATGCCACCTCATCAAAGGCCCACCACAACATGCATGAGAAAATATTTTTCATTATTACTTGATCCCACGCATAATCCCACCTCACCGCACATGCCATCTCACCAAAGGTCCACTCAACATGCATGGAATTTTGTTTTCCATTATATTATACCACGATAACCAAATACAGTATACATGTATTTTCAGTTTTAGTAAATATATTATTAATTCCACTATTCATGTTTCATACAATCAAATCATTTGAAATATATTACAGTCGATTGAGCAGCAACATGCGGGGTATTCTCTAGTTTCCTTAATTCTTTGTCACTCCATCTACCATACACATCTTTTTTCTGACTATCCACTGCCCCCAATATACGATGAATATATGATTGTGAGAACAACATTTAAACTGATGCGTGCTTTACCTTCAATGTTCCGAATTCTTTGAAAATTTGTTTAATATTTTCTGTTTGATGTAAAATATAAACTCGTTAACAAAACTGATGGATTTCCTAATGAATGGAAACCACTCGTAAGTGGAACTTTGGCAGAAAAAGGTCGATCTATGAAATTTTGAAACACCTATGCAACATTGCTGAAATTTCTATAAGCCCTTGTCACCCATCCTATACAACATTGTTGAAGGTATCTTGGTGGTGCTCATTGAGCTAGCTAAAGAGGCTAGCCAAGTGAATGGTCTTATTCAACACCTTGTTGATGGTGGGTCTTGGTTCTGCAGTATGCGGATGGCACCATCATATACATGGAGCATGACATTGAGAAGGCTATAAACATGATGTTAATTTTATATCTGTTTCAGCAATTTTGGGCCTTAAGTTTAACTTACCTAAGAGCAAACTTTCTGGTTTGGGAAAGCCAAAGCAAGAGGAGGATTGATACAAATAGTTGTTTGGTTATGAGTCAGGTTCTCTTCCCTTTTAGTATCTTGGTGTTCTAAATCACATTTGTAAGCTCCTGAATAAGGAAAGGAAGTGTATTGAAGTCCGCTTCCAAAATAAGTTGGATGGATAAGCTCATGTTCTCTAGTGCATGTCTTTATCTTATAAATGTTGTATTTTTTCGAGATAAACAAAGTGGTAGCTAAGGAAAAGCCTAGACTAGAGAAAAATCCAAGATTTTCCAGAAATCAGTTTTCCCGGCTCCACACCCGGGAAAAGACGGAACCGGGGAAAAAAAACCTGATTGTAGTAGACTAAAGTTTTTTTACTGACTCATAATATTTTGTTCCCTGCACAATTTATGAGAAAAAAAG